AACAACTTATCATCTTAATAGCTTTCTTGGATTTAATGCGCGACTCTCCATTCTTCTACATAAGATTGGTTACATGGGCATCGAGAAATATAAATATTAATGAATCACTTGTTTACGAGAAATGACTAGTAGCATATTTAAATGGATGATAGGTAGAATCACTTATCGTTGGTCTGTGTGTCAAGATGAAATATGACTATCAAAAGTTGATGGAGGGAGTAATAACTTAAGATTGGATATGACATCACCCAGTACAATTTATCTGAATATGCCCTTTATCCAGATACATTGTATCAGGTGATGTCTTATATAATCCTATGATACTATATTATGAGCATTAGAAAGAAACATTAACATACGTGTTAAAAGGATATAAGTAGTTATGTAGTAAATCATAAAAAAAATTGCAATGCTTGACAAAATATATCTCGAGATAACTAAATTTTATCTCCAAGTTTTCCACCTTATTACAAATGTAGTAACTTGGGGTATCTTTTAAAGATAATAAAATTAACCTAAATTGATACATGCACACAAGAGACAACACATACAGTGGTTCGTCCTTTAGATTCATAGCCTTCTCATCGGGAAAAACCTATTAAACGGTGCCCCATCATCTCATGTCGGCTAGCAAAAACCTGTTGAGTGTTGAGTACAGAAACTCAAGTGACGCTGGCGCTTTCTGCGTACTTCTACTATTTTGGACACGTCAAGCCCAACATGACAAATCACACGTTTGCAAAAACCATTTCGTTTTGCTGGCAGTGCAGCTGGGACGATATTGATCATATCCTTTTTGTTGCAACGCACATAAATTCACTTTTGATGAACGGGTGCATACAGCACACACAGATGACGATTCATCATGGACAATTAATTACAATTATCTGTTTTTGATTTTGTTATTTCGTTTTCAGTGTTCACGCGTATAAAAATTTGAAACACGATGGAATATATGTGCTTCCATCTTTTGAATATATAAAATAGTTATGAAAAATTTCAAAAGTGTTTCATGGTAGAGTATCATAGACTCTTCAAAATGGTAACCTGTGTTAATATAAGAGGAATAAACATATATTGTTCTTTTGAGTTTCAACCTATTGTCTAATAAGTTTGGGTTTCTTACGCACTTAGAACTTTTCTATTTTTCATATTATATTTCTTTAAAATATTAGGCATTCTTTTAAAAGAAAACACACAACTAAACGCCAAGTGGTGGAAGGGGTCTATATATGCGAGATTTTATATATGTATATGAGGAGATTTTTTTTTTCAAAGTAGCCTAATATGCATCAATTTCTTCGAGAAGGTTTTTTTTTTTTAAAAAAGGAGGAAATCGTTACAGGAAGGGCTAATATTGTCATCTTTGTGTAGCCACCTTAGGTGCCCTCTCTAATTTCAACAATGATAGTCCGTTCAAGCTGCATGCTGACATTTTCCCGCCGTCTTTCCTATTTACTCCGATCCCGCTATCCTAAAAGACTCATGCATGTGTGTCTAGATTCATCTCTAGATCGAGATGGATTCGTTTTAGGAAAGGAGGTTCTTTATCACCGATCGACCATGATGTAATAGGTTTCGTTATAGTGCGTCCATAGTATGGCCTCCCTCCTAGTATCGACCTTTATTGTCAGGTACTCTAGCACAAGAGTAACATATGCTTTAGTCCAAAGTAGACAACTAGACATATAGGTATCCTGTTGAGAAGGAGTATGATGAAGCAGTAAGGTTATAAAAGGTACGGTTGATTTCGATTATTTGCATAATCTTTTTCCTTAAGAAGACAACACGCGGAAATTAATCCAAACAAATTAATGTTGCCTCTTGCCACTTTGCCAGTACTGTAGATGATGTCCACATTGGGTTGTAAATAAGTAGACTTATAAGTAAGCCCTGCTAAGTCTTACTCTAGATCTCATATATACATGCTGGATTGAGTTTGTGTGCTAAATTAGAGTGATTTAAAATTTAAAATGATTTAAAAAAGATTCATTCAAATATCATTAACATAGATAGTTACATATCTAAATCCATAGGTTTATGGAGTTAGAATATCCAGCTCTGGAAAACTTGCATACGGAGTTAGAGCAAATTTAATAGTATAACTAACTACTAGCTCCAAATAATCTATAGTCGATTTAATAGTCAATTCATACAATAGTTACCTATAAATATATACTACATTACTAATATCTGGTCCCACCTATCATACACACATTACGTATTGGAGTTCATGCTGCAGCTGGCTACAAATCTATAGCTCGCTGCTCATTTTTCTCTTCTTTAGTCTCCTCGATATGTGTTTATAGCTGGCTTATAGTCTGCTATTATACTTGCTCTTATACCACACATTAGAGAAGGTACAATAGCAGACTATTAGCTAGCTATAAACATATTTTAATGAGATAAAAGATGAGAGAGAAGAGCAGCGGGCTACAGATCTGTAGCTAGCTGTAGCATGAACTTCAAGACACAATGTGTGTATGACAAGTGGACCATATATTAACAGTATAGTAAACAACTATTGTATAAATTGGCTATTAGATCGGCTATAGATTAATTGGAGCTAGTAGTGGACTCTACTATTAAACTCTTATACTCTTTGCGTCGGTATCTGCTCATGCTCTTACCACGTGTCCAGGTGTGGCAATGGGCCATTGCTAACCCCATAAATTGTTAAAGCTGTTTACTTATCATTGATTATCCCAGTTTCTAGAACCATTGGCCAGTTGAGAGTTGCTTCACTGGGGTGAGTTTCGATTTCACCCTTTTCTCTTCTAATTTTTTGTGAAGTTATTTTATTTTTTACATATTAGTGTATATATTTTTTGGATATGAGAAATCTAGATTTCTATATAATTAAAATTTGAGCTAAATCTGCCACTTGAAGTGATATGGAGCTAGCTATATTGGTCGAGAACCACTTGATTGTAAGCTTTAAATTTATTCCACTAAAAATCAACTACTACGCGCCTTGCTGTGCAGATGAAGACCGCACCGTATTGCTGGATCAGTATTTGTTATAAATGCCCTGGCAATCTAGTATATAAATGGCACTCTCCATGGACTTGATCTCTCTTTTATATGGAGTTTCTCCAACCGCATATACATTACTAAACATGGTTAGTAGGGGCTTCCCTAATATCCTAGTATTTTTTTAGTCAAGCATGCCTAATTAATGCCAAATTATTTGGTCTATTATATTTGGCACCTCCCAGATACACCTTCCGTCTAAAAAAAAGCAAATCCTAGCTATATACTGGACAATTGCATATCCAGTTTCATAGCTAGGATTTAATTTTTTGGGACGAAACGAGTACAAAACATACATGTATTTTTTCCCTCATCCTTCCTTTCTCAGTATATCTGATTTGTAGTTCCCACTGCAGCACGCAAGATAACGTTAAGATTGGAGTATACTGTCAAGCACACAAACAAAACGTTATCATAATTTTTTTAACAGAAGTCATACATATACTTCTATAGTATTATACATACGCATAAAATCTCAACCTAAAATTCATCATATATATAGAGCAGAAATAAACAAAAGATTGACAAATTTATACTATTAAAGCTATCAGATTTTTGTTTTTTTAATTATGGCTAAAATATAATAATTTTGGAGTTGAGAGTTCATATATATACAAGTATAATACTATTAGAAATACTCGTATAATTTTTCTGGATTTTTGATGATGTTTATTAGTTGATGTACAGGGTGAGTGTACTCGCGAAACTTGTATGTATAGGATATGTTCTGAGTTAACAAATACTACCTTTGTCCCAATACATGAGGTGTTTTAGGCTTAAGAACAGGTATTAAGAAAACATGTGGAATTAAATAGGAAAAAAATGTGATTGGTTAAGAAGGGAAAGTAGGTGAAGAATTTGAATGGTGGAAGGTTGTGATTAGTTAAAAAGGAATGTAGGTACAAAATTTGTTATATTTTAGGACAAATTTTTAGTGTTAAAAATTGTTATATTTTAGGACATAGGAAGTAGCTAGTAAACGTGAAAACGATCCACTTTAACTCTTAAGAGAAACAGTTTGCTAATTGGTATAGACAGTTTTCAAACCAAAATAACTTCCTTGTCCACTTTGATCGATTGGATTGTGAGAGGATTAATTACTTGGGAGGATATATTTGACAATGACCATTTGATCCTCTTGGTTAATTAATCTTTCACTCTCGCCGATACGGACACAACCCAACCGAATTTGCATATGGTTGGTGAAATGGGGACAAAATTAGGAATATGCAGCATTTATATTTGAAAAAAATATAGTTCCTCTCTCTCAAATAAAAACTCGATGTTTTAAGATTTCTCAGCCTATTTATTTGATTCAGTTATCATTTCAATATGGACACAACCCAACCGAATTTGCATATGATTGGTGAAATGGGACAAAATTATGAATATGTAGCATTTATATTTGAAAAAAATATAGTTCCTCTCTCTAAAAAAACCTCGATGTTTTAAGATTTCTCAGCCTATTTATTTGATTCAATTATCATTTCGATAAGAGTACATGCAATTCAGAACACTACACTGGACAAGGTCACCAGTGACGGGCCCAAACCCTCACCTTTGACGGCTTTAGGCTTGGTCAGTGATCAGTGGTCACTGGTGAGTTCGGTCACCTTTGACGGGTGGAAGACCGTCACTGATGACAGTCACCTCTGACGGGCTAGAACTCTACGGCCCGTCAGAGATAAGTGTCTGCGCTAACCCATGCCATTTTGCAACCCGTCACAGATGACTCACCTGTGACGGCTCAGAGAGTAAAAAACGTCACAGGTGTGTCACTTGTGACGACATGTATGTGCAAAGCCGTCACTGGTATGGTCACCTGTGACGGCTTTTGCAATATGAACCGTCAGTGGTGAGCTTACATCCAGAAAAATAATAATTTCCCCTAGGATTTGCTAGCCATGCCTCTGGAAAAACAGAACATACACATGCAATATATATGTCTCCAGTTTCAGCCCATTGCATTAAAAGTTTCAAACTAACATCACATGCATTCCAAGTTGTCACCGAAAATCCATAGACATTCACACACATGCATTGCAAGTTCTCAAATTGAGCCAAGCCGATGCTTCAAAGCACCAGAAATAAATCCAGAAAAAAGAGAACATACTTCGATGCCAACATACTGAAAAATGAGAAATATAGCCTAAGTGCCACAAACTTGAACATAGCATTTCCATCTTTGGTTTCTGAGCCTGACGAATATGGTATGACATACAAACTTACAATTAGATCAGCATAAGTACAGCCCCCAGTGCCTGCAATGACATCATTCAGAGAAGTTTAATGCAACAATATCCTAACAGCCTAACAACCAGATATATGTTACAGATGGGATGACAGTAGCAGGAACAGCTTCGATATGTTACAAATGCATATAACTATGCAAGAATAGCCTAACAGCCAGATAATCAGCATAAGTTGCTCCAAAACAACAAATTAAAATGGGGTCACTCTGTCTGAGAAGGCAAAAATAAGTTTACCTCAGATTAGTATTCATTAGCTAGCCTTTCAACCATCCTTGATAGTCATCCATATGCATGTCAGTAGTTAAATATTATCTGAAAGAAACGGAAATAGATCAACTGGCAAAGGAAGCTCACCATTTGTAGAAAGAACTAGCATCTAATTTGTTCAGCTAGCATAGAAATTGGGGGATTTGTAGAGTATCCAAGAACACACCAAAAAAAACTTCTGGTAAGAGGTCTAACAAGGAAAATAAAAACAGATTTACTGATGCATCAACTTAAATAGAACAAGAAAACAAAGCGAAACAACATGCATGCCCACTATCCAAACAAAATACTAGTACACAAAGAGCATCTAACTAATGATCCAATAGCTCATGATTTTTGATGGGGTTAAAGCTAGATGCATCCTTGGACAAGGATTTAGCCACAGGAACCACAGGAGACGCCGGAATCGGTTGACTGCAAGCTCAGATCTGGATACAAGAGAAGGAAAGGGTGACTTCTGCTTAGCACTAAACTAAGTAAAATAGATGAGGCGGCAGTGACTACTGAGGATGGGGTGGAAGGGGACAGCCGACGCCTGCTCTCCCCACGGCAGGTTGACCTCGATGACGTGGGGTGGTGTGGACGGCGGATCGCTTACCTCACGAACGGATCTGGCGTCGCTGAAGCTAGGACCGCAGGATCTGGAGCACCCAAACTCGGGATGGTTGGATCCGCGACCTCTGAGTTCATGGTGTCCAGATCTGGAGCCCCCGAGTTCATGGTTGCTGGGACCGTCAGGGGGAGGGTGGGGGATGTAGAAGCTTGTCGTCGACCGGAGATAAGCGGCGATGGACGGAGGGGCTTGTCGATGGCGTTGGGCAGCGGCGTGGTGCCCCATTCGCCGATGGTCCTGGCACCGGCGTTGTCTTCGTCTTTGGCTCGATACGACCCGGATCTGGCGTGGTGGAGGTGGGAAGGAGGCGGTGACCCGGATTTGGAGTTTTGGAGGCATGGCGGCGACCGTGGGCGGTGGGTGAAGGAGGCGGCGACCGTGGGCGGTGGGTGAAGGAGGCAGCGACCCGGAGGCGGTGGGAGAAGGAGCCGATGACGGGGCGGCGGAGAGACGGCGGCGGCGACCATGGGGCGGAGGGCGAAGGAGGCGGCGACCTTTGGAGGTGGGCGAAGGAGGCCGGTGGTTGGTGGGAGGAGAGAAGAGAGACTGAGAGGAGAAGGAGAGAGACTGAGCAGGTGGCGGTGGGGCCCCATGGGTGGGGGGTGGGGGTTCCTTTTTTATATGTCAAAATTGATCACCTTTGATGGGTGCAAACTTAAAATCAGTGATGGGCCAGAAGTCATATCCGTCACAAGTGACGGCCCATCACCTGTGACGGGTTATAACTCCCTGGCCCGTCAGAAATGAGGTCATACCAGTGACGGGTTGGAAGTCAAACTCGTCACTATCTTACCTGTGACGGCTTAAAATTCTGGCCCGTCACAGGTGAGGTGATACCTGTGACGGGCCGAGGCCAGATGCCTCACCGATGATGGTAAACCTAACGACCCGTCAAAGGTGACGGTCATCTGTGACCAATTTATAAACCCGTCACTGGTGTACCGTCACAGATGTAGGGTTCTGGCGTAGTGGAAGGTTCGAGAGAATATTTCCTGATTGTAATTAATTAAGCCTTCCATAACTTATTGCCACGTGCCACAGGAGTTACAATACACATTGGCGCCATGGACACAAACATTACATAGGGCAAAGCAAATCACGAGTGGTCTGGAATGAGTCGATAGAAATAGACTGACCCCATTTCTTTAATTACATATTGCTAAAATGACCTTTTTTTTCTGGAAAATTGTTAGGATGTTACAACATCCAGTTTTTTTTGGATGGAGGAAGTAGTTGTTTTTGTTGCACAAATTTAATACTTACATATAAAGGTTAATATATGCCAATGACTTAGTTATCTTTGCCTCCCCCGAGCAGCAAGACCTCCTTACAAAGGAAACCATGCTGTACTTTGGTGGTGCCTAAGGGCTGGCAACTAATTTCAAGACGTATCCGCTGCTTGGATGAAGACGTGGATCACATTCAATCTCTCCATTAAGAAAATTTTGAAGGTATAATGGCAACCTACACTTCTCATATGTGTTCCTTCCACCTCTAACTAGTTCCTTTGTCACATTCCTCCTTTTGTCGACCAGATCCAATTGATCTCGATGTAGCAACTTTCTGCCTCCAATACCTTCACTTGCCAATGCAAAATCTAGTGGAGGCAAAGAACAAGTAGAGGCCCCTTCAGCAATACATTGTATTTATATATGTATTGTGTTATCTATAGAGATTAGAATGTCCTCCCTTTCAATGCCTTGTGTTTATATCACTTGCCTGGACACCTCCTTATCCAAGCAGAACTCGAAAGGCAAAAGCTAAGACACAATTCGAGCAGTCCTAGTCATTCTTATGTCAGACTATGAGCTTTATCCTCTTTCTGAGATCACATTTCATGTCCACGAGTTTATCTTAGATTTGGGAATTTGTTTCTTGTCCAATAATAGGTATGTAGGTAGTATTCTTACTGAGGTATATGCGCGCGCGTACACGGGTACAAATCCTATATTTAGTACACTGATAATTAATTTTCACTTTAATCCTCTCTTTTTTAACTTTTAGTTTTACATTCAACCCTTTTACTCACGATATTCTCCATGGACACATGTCTCCACCACTACATTTAAGCTCTCGTTTTTACCTGGAAAATAAAGGAAATATTATGAAAAAGATCCAAAGCAAAACACAACATGTTAGAAAAGGTTCCAATTTGAAGCGTTGGAAATAAAATAGAGTCCAACCTAAAATTCACGCTAACTGAAGTCCTGTGATGAATGAACCATCAACTCGGTTCTAGGATAATCCATATAAAAACTTTGAAAATGCCTCTTTTCCCCCTGAATTATATTCCATGGTGGCTTTCGATCCAGTTTAATTACGTTTAAAACAATTTTACGGTCCTTGAGTGTAGCGCCCGTTCCGTCGTGGCGCCTAGCGGGAAAATTATCTCCTAAAAACCCTAATTGCGAAAGTTGTTTCTTTGATTGTTGTCTAGTGTTACGTTTAAAACAATTTTACGGTCCTTGAGTGTAGCGCCCGTTCCGTCGTGGCGCCTAGCGGGAAAATTATCTCCTAAAAACCCTAATTGCGAAAGTTGTTTCTTTGATTGTTGTCTAGTGCCCGTGCCATCTCATGATCTCTTCCCCGGCCCTCTCTCTCCCGGGCGTCTCCCTCTCTCTCTCTCTCTCTCTCTCTCTCTCTCTCTCGTTTGCCCCCCCGGCGCGTTTTCCCCCCCTCGCTGCTCGCGCGTGTGAGAGCCGCGCCGAGCGCCTCTCTCTCCGCTCCCCTCCGCTCCGCCCGCGCGCCGCGCGCGCGTGCGCGGGAGTCGCCCGCGCCGAGCGCCCCCTCCTCTCGCGCGAGCCCCCCCCGCTCGCAAAGCCGGCCCCGCGCGCCGTTGCTCGCGCGCGCCGCGTGGTTTCCCGCCCGAGCCGCGTCGTCTGCGCCGTCCGCGTCGCCCGGTCCCGCTGCCCAGCCGCGCCGCCCGTTGCTTCCCGCGCGCGCGTGCCGAGTGGCCGACCGCCTGGTCGCCGCCGCCGTCACCCTCTGCCGCGCCAGCCCGCGCCTGTCGCCCGTGTCGTCGCGCCGCTCCAAACCATCCCACCGTCATCGCCGTCGTCATCCCCCGGCCCCCGCCACTCCGCGCGCAAGCCGCCAAGAGGCGGAGGCCGAGCTCTCCCTTCCCTCTGCCGCGTCGCCCCGCTCCCTCCTCCTTTTCCCGATTCGGCAAAGGGGCAAGCCCCTTTCTCTCCCTCCTTTTCCCCTTTCCTTCCTTTTTCCCCTCTCGCCGGCGTCACCTCCTGTCGCCGCTTTGGACGCTAGCCGGAGCGCCAGCTCGCCGGCTTGACCGCCCATGTCGGTTCCCCTCTCTCAAACCGACATTGCCGCCCATTTAAACCCGTCTTCCCCCTCCCTTCCTTTCCTCTCCCATTCGCCTCCTCACCGTTGCCGCCGCTCCCGTGCTCTGCCTCGCCTCTGCCGTCCATCGCCAAGCGCCGGGTGAGCCGGTGCGTTCGTGGACGCGGAAGGGGACTCCGGGCGCGCCCTCTTCTTCCTCTTCCTCAGCCCGAGGCCGGAGAGATCACTCCCGCGCCGTCGGCCTCTCGTCACTGCGCCCCGTCCCGCACGGTAGTGTCTCTCTCCGTTCTTCCTCCTCGCTCCATCTCCTCCCCCTAGCTTTCGGTAGTAGCTCGAGTAGACTCCCCGTAGCTAGCCGGCGCCGCCCCGACCGTTGCCGTCGTTCGCCATGTGCTCGCCGCCGTCGCCGCCCGAGCTCCGTAGCACCCGCTCGTCGCCAGCCTCGCTCGGCGTAGCTCCGTCCAATCCGACGCTAGCATCGGATTCCCGTGGTCGCGTAGATGCTCTCACCGCCGGGAATCGACCTCTCGTGACCTCGTCGCCGTTTCCCTCTTCTCCCGCCGCTGGTTGCCGCCGCCGCAATCCGCCGCCGTCGAGCTACCTCCGGCGAATCCGAGCCGTTTGCTCGTCTCCCCTTGTCACATGCAACCGCCCGGTGTGCGCGCTTTCGCCGGTATCGCCGTGGCACGCTCCGCCGCTCGCCGCTGTCGCACCGCCGTCCATTCGCGGCCGGGTCGTCGTCTACCTCCCGCCGGCCCGTGAGGCTGCCACGTAGGCGCCACCTCGGCGCCACCTCGGCCGCGACCGGATAAGCCGACCCGGCCAGCCGCTCCCTCCGTTTCTCCCCGTGCGTGTGGTCCGCGGTGAGCCGTGAGGCTGCGCGTGGGCCCGCCGCATCCGTTCCTCCGCGAACCACGCGCGTGCACCGCGTCCCAGCCCTGCCCGCGCGCGTACGCCGCATACTCCCTCCGCACGGTGAGCCGAGCCGCTGACAAGCGGGTCCCACCCAGGACCGCGCGTGGTGAGCCCGGTCCACCGGCTCCCTCTCTCTCCTCCCTCCCGCGCGCGCGACCGTCTTGGGCCGCCTTCTTGGGCCGGCCGGCCCGTTAAGATCGGCCGAGCCGCCCCAAATCTCTTGGGCCGCACCCTAGCCACCCGAGAAAAGTCTATATTCCCTCCCTCCTTTCTTTTCTTTTTCTTTTCCAAAAAGGATTTAATTAAATCCTTTTTCCGTTAGACCAAAAATCCAATAATCTTAGAAATTCAATATCTTCCCAACCGTAAGTCCGTTTGACTCCGTTCAACTTCCAAAATTCCTCAAATCTCGAGATCTATCTAATGGCATGCTTAGAGGTCATTAATAGGGCTTTATTTTCACCGTTTGTTGAGTTGTTCCGTTTCGCGTGTAGTTCCGGAGCCCGAGGACCTGCAGTGCGAGGATTTCGAGGATCAAGCTCCAGATCTCGAGCAAGGCAAGCCACCCTTGAACATCTCGAGCCTATATTTGAAATTTAATTATATTGCTTGCGAAATACTATGCATTGATAGGATCACACTAAATCTGTTGTCCCGTCTGCAAGGCAGATTGGCAGACCTACCTAAATTGTTGCATTTGATCCTTTCCTTGTTAATTGTTACAACATGTCCCCTTGTAACCACCTAGTTGCGTCCTGATATTCGTGCATCCTGTGCGAGTATCGACGGACGCCTTCAAACTTATAATCTGAGTAACAGCTTGGGTAAAACTGGAGTTTTACAAAAGACTTGGAAAACCCGACACCTGGGTCGGTGCTTGCGAACTAAACGAATTTCCAAAACCGCGGACCGGGGAACGTACCGGGTGTACGGTTTCCCGCTCTCGCACTTAAGGACCGATTTCCTTGGAATTTCATCCAAACATAAGACAAGTACGACCACATGGGTGGAATGGGACACCCCTGGCTGAGTAACTAGCTTATCAGGGGAGCCTTGATGCCGAGAGACATGTGGATTCGCCGGGGTGGTGTCGGGGAGGACCCCTGGGCTTCCTGGCACAGTATGGTCTGGGACCTAACCTGTTGTTGGTCTGGGACCCCTCTCGTCGGCATATGGTAAACCTGTATCGGCTTTCGAAATGCCTTGTCGTGAAAGCTTGGAGGTCTCCCGACGTGGCTGATCCCCACGGGCTGGGTGATCTGGGTTAGTAATGTCGTGTGGGTAAAGTGTACCCCCTCTGCAGAGGTTAACAAACTGTTCGAACAGCCGTGCCCACGGTCATGGGCGGATGTGAGGTGATT